GGGGGGGGGGTGGGGGGGTTAAAAAAATTTGAGGCACTTTTGCAGCAATTGAGGAGATAAAATGAAAACAGAACCCTCCGAATGCACAAGCCTGGTTTGATATCTATGAATTCAATGTACCTGGGTCTCTTATTAAAACATAAATATTATCGATAACAAGAATGGACTGCATGTGTGTTCATAGGGGCAAAGAAATCTCTTCTTTCTGACATAAAATAAGAAAGAAATAAGAGAGAATACCTCGATGCAACGACTTTCTTTTGCTTTTCCACAGCAGGATCCACCCAGGCTACGAGCACAGACTGGGATGACATCACTCGGACACTGATGTCTTTGGGCACATCCAACTCATCCTCTTCTGAAAAGACAAAAGGACCCAAAAATAGGCTGCCTCATTGGAATGATGTCATCCTGGGTGCCTGACATCTTCAGAGTGTGATACCCACCCTTCCAGTTCTTAAATTGCTTGTGCTTTAATAGAAAACAAAATAATGTTTTCAAAAGAATGTGAAGGTATTATTTGGGTAGAAAAGCTAAACTCTATTCTTCTGAAATCCAGTGTTAGACATAGTTGGTTTTAAAGATGGCCCTACTCAATTATCCTTTGTCAAGTTAACTCCCTGTTTCTCACCTGATATGGGGAGTTCTGAGATGGGATAAGATCTTTGTGGAAACAGGTTTAAAGAGAGAAAGGCTGAAAGCAAAGCACAGCTTTGTGACTGGAGTGGGAGATGACAATTCACTTCAAGTCATGGTAGTAGTAAGAATCTATGAGGATCTATGTCCACCATTTTAGAACCTGAGACTCCAACGTAGATTAAGACCAATATTTAGATAATAAATTGTTTTGAACATTGGGCAGTATCGTTTAAGACAAAGGCCTCGTAGCGAAAGTTTACAGAATCTTACCGGGCCTCCACAAGAAAAAGACTGATAACACAATTGCAAGATGGGCAAAATACACAAAATACATGAAAAGAATTTTCACAGAGGAAGATATTTGGATGGCTAACAGACATATGAAAAATATGCTCAAAATCACTGGCAATAAGAGAGATGCAAATCAAAACCACAATGAGATACCATCTCACTCCAGTAGCAGAGGCAAAGTGTAAAAGGACAGGAAGTAATAAATGTTGGAGCGAATGTGACGAAATAGGAACTCTTATACACTGTTAGTGGGATTGTAAAATAGTACAGCCACTCTGGAAGGGAGTTTGGCACTTCCTCAAAAAGGTGAACATATAAATTCCATATGACCCGGCTATGAAAAAAAATATACCCTGAGAGAATGAGAACAGAGATACAAACAGAGACTTGTACACCAGCGTTCATAGCAGCATTATTCACCATTGCAAAAACATGGAAACAGTACAGATGTCTAAACCACAATTGAATGGACTGAGAAATTATGGTACATTCACATAATGGACTACTATGCAGCATGCAGGAGCAATGATTTTGTAAATTACTACCTTAGGAGGGACTGGAGAGCATTATTCTAAGTGAACTACCTTGGCCTCATAAGGACAAATACTGTATATGACCATTATTGTAGAATGAGTATGAGTATCTAAAGGGGTAAAAGGGGAAGTAGAGGGGTGATGATGGGAGGGGGCAGGCAGTTAATCATAGGGTCACACAATTTGATGGGGGGAGAGAGAGGGAGAAAATGGAAAAGATTCCATGTGAAAAACAATGTATATGAACTTTGTGAATAAACCAGTTGTTTGTTGTTATGTGCCATCAAGTCACTTGTGACTCATAGTGACCCTATATACAAGAGCACTACACCCTCCTCTATCCTGTGCCAACCTCATTGCCTCTGACACACACTCCCACCACCCCAATCACAGAATCGATTCATCTCATCAAGGGTCTTCCTCTCCTGTGCTATCCCTCTACTCTTCCAAACACTCTCCCAAACAGTCTCTCCAAAGACTGGTCCCTCCTTGCAAAATGCCCAAAGTATGTCAGATGAAGCTTCAGAGTTCTTGACTCCAAGGAGCAGCCTAGCTTCACCCTCTCCAGGATAAAAGAAATTTTTTTTAAAAAAATTGTTTTGACAATTTCTTAAGAGGATTAACTGGGCCATCTATGGAAGACTTCATAGTCACAAAATTCACTATTTTGTTCAACCTTTAACATAAATTGAGATTCATAAAATGTCTTCAGTCATGCTTTTTGGTGTCTTGCATTTGCTTTTTGGGTTCATTGCACCTTTCAGGGAAATGTTTTAAAAGGATAGAGATTTTGCTACAAAGAGAGGGGGTCAGAGGTGTGCTGTTAGAATGGTCATAAAGGGACTTTATGAAGTAATTAGTGAAGAGTAACAGCAAAGCCTCATACACATGGGACCTCATTTTTACAATGTTCTTGTTGGGTACCACCGAGTTGACTATGACTCACAGCAACCCTATGAACAACAGAGCTGAACCTTGTCCAATCCTATGCCATCATCTCTGACACACTTGAACCCGTTGCTACAGTCACCTTGTAAATTCATTTCGTTGAGGGTCTTCCTCTCTTTTACTCTCTTCCTCCACCTTTCCATGTATGGTGCTCCTCTCCTAAGACTAGCCTCTCCGTGTTTCACCATCTTTGCCTCCTAGGAACATCCTGGTGGCACTTTTCCCAAGACATATCTTTGTTCTTTTTTCTTTTGGCAGTCCAGGGAATATTCAGTACTTTTCTCCAATTCCACAGCTTGAAAGTATCAATTCTTCTATCATCTTTATTCACTATCCAGCTCTCGGAATCAAACTAAGCGATAGAAAAGACCATGATTTAAATCAGGTGCACTTTTGTCTCCAAACTGACATCATTGTTCCTCAGTAATATGGAGAGGTCCCTGAGAATAGACTTGCCCCATCAAAACCCGTCCTGATCTTTAGACTGCTGGTATCAAGGGTGTTGACTGTAGATCCAAGTGAGATGAAATTTCTGACATCTTCAATTTTTATCTATCATGGTGTTGCTTATCAGTCTAGTGGGGAGAATTTCTAGCTTCTTGATGTTGAGTTGCAATCCATATTGAAGGCTGTATTCTTTGATCTTCTGCAGCAAGTGCCTCAGGTCCTCCTCGCTTTCAGGATGCAACGTTGTGTCATCTGCATAATATGGGTTGCTGATTAGTCTTCCTCGGATCTTAATACCACATTCTTCTTAATAGAGTCCACCTTCTCAAATGACTTCTTCAGTGTACAGATTGGATAGGTATGAAGAAAAGATACAGACCTGATGTACAACTTTTTAAAATTTTAAACCATGCAGTATTATCAGGCAGTATTCAGACCATAGTTTCTTGGTCTAGGTATAGGTTTTGTATAAGCATAATTAAGCATTCTGGGATTCTCATTCTTCTCAATATTAACCATAGCTTGTTATGAGCCACGTAGTCAAATGCCTTTGCATAGTCAACAACATCATAGTTGCTGATTACAAGACATCAAGAGCCACTGACGTGTAGTCAAATTATGCCTTTAAATTGGATACTGTATAGCTATCCAATCAAGATAAGCCTCTAAACATACCATGTGTTTAAGACACCATGCAAAACACACCATGAAATATCTTTCAGGAAAGAAATCTATCACAAGAGCACTCTATTCTCTGAGATAGAAGAAACACATTTGTACTCAATATAATCAAGTTTTCCCTGTGGTGTCCTTTATACATAAGGAATTTCATGCCCTTCATCACACCGCCAGCAAGAATGCTTGGGCCATAACACTGTATTCGTACTAGACCATACATGGTCAAATGCAGTCTTAGAAACATACCTGCAATTTTTCGCTTTGTCAAGGCTGCCCTGTAGACTGGTTGGCTCCGCCCCTGTGAGTTCATGGACTGCAGGGAGACCACGTACACTGACTCAGACGCTGTGGACAGAGCAGAGAACAAAGGGACCAAAAAGAGTAAGAGTCTGTGCCTTGATTTTTCTCAGGAGCACATATTACTTGATTATCTGATCTCCCTCTTCCCTTCTCTTCTTTCCATTCCATCCCTGGGAGGTGCCATTAAGTGGTCAGCTGCTAATCAAAAGGTTGGTGGTTTGAATCCACCCAGAAACACCTTGAAATAAAAACATAGCAATCCATTGGGGGGGCGGGGGGAGTCAGCCTTTGAAAACATTGTGGAGCACAGTTACGCTCTTACGCACGTGGAGTCACCATGGCAGAACTGATTCTATTGGCAACTGGCTTTTTATTTTACAAGTGATGACAGAAAGTCAGAAAAGCTGAGAGTCTTATCTCAGGTCACACCACTACGTTGCACTGGGTAATTTTCCTTGATCCAGATCACTAATGGCTACTCTAGGCTCCACTGACCATGCTTTTTGGAGTGGCCCCTCATCAGTTGGAGAGTTTGAAGCAGAGATAATTGTATCATCACGGATTTGTTAGCTGAGGCAACACCAAGATCTTAAATAATACACAGAATACTGAGAGTCATCCCTCACACCCTGGCGAGTATTCAGATATCAAGATAACAAAACCTGCATTTTTGTTTTCAAGAGTTGATGTCAAATTGATGTTGAATTAAAATAGACCTGTGTTCAAAAACCTCACACAGTGGGATCATGCATGTCAAGTGAGTGCAGAGATTTCAAAGGAAGCAAGTTAATAGGAGACAGCCAGCTGTGGTTCACCCACCAGGGAAGCTCAGGCCAAGACATGAGCAAATTATTCAGATGAAGGCTTTCACATCTTAATCTTCTAGAGGTTTTTGAACTGATTTTTTTTTTTTATCAAAGTGAAAAATCACATTTGTTGCCATGGACTCCTGTTATTGTTATGTGCCGTCGAGTCGTTTCCGACTCATAGCGACCCTATGCACAACAGCCCTAAACCCTGCTCTATCCTGCGCCAACCGCACCGCCTCCGACACACCCATCCCGATTACCCCAGTCACCGAATCAATCCATCTCATAGAGGGTCTTCCCCTCCTGCGCTGTCCCTCCACCCTCCCAAGCATGATGTCCCTCTCCAAGGACCCGTCCCTCCTGGCAACATGTCCAAAGTATGTCAGACGAAGCCCCAGAATCCTTGCCTCCAAGGAGTAGCTTGGTTTAATCCTCTCCAAGATGGATCTGTTTGTTTTCCTGGCAGTCCATGGTACATTCAGTACCCTTCTCCAGCACCACAGCTCAAAAGCATCCACTCTCCTTCTGTCCTCCCTAGTCATTGTCCAACTCTCTGATGCCTCCTAGAACTCTTAATTCAACCTAGAAGTAACTTCAGATCTGATCATGTCTTTGTGCTACTGGCAAGGGAAGCATGAGTTGAACAAAGAAAAAGATCTGCTATTCAACTTAAAAATGCAGAAATGTGTGTAAAGAACCTGATATGAGCAGCTCTGCCTATCACCTACCAAACACCCAGAGAGATGAATAATTTCCCCCAAGTGAAATTTCTCTACACCTGTAATGTGCTTACTGAAGCTCTTAATCTTTTTTTTTTTTAGGGAAGGAGGGAGATGTGTGAGGTGAAAAATGCCTGCATTCTTAATTTGCTAAACTTTCAAAATTAAATTATAAGATTAACATGAAGAACTTTAGCAACCTACAATATCCAGATAGTTTGACTTTGCTTGATGAAATCAAAAAGGATTTGGAGCTCTTATAGAAGAAGTCTAGATTATAGCCTTCAGCATGAATTATGCCTCAAAGCAAAGAAACATCAACACCAGCAACATCACCATGAATGGAAAGAAGATAGAAGTTATCATTATTTTTTTTTTTATTTCACTAGGATCCACAATCAACATCTTTGGAAGCAGCAGTCAATAAATGTCCCTCCTGAGCAAAATACAAGGAAGCTTGCTTCTGAGGAATATTCTGGCTGTACTGCTTCCAAGATATATTTGCTTGTTCTTTTGGCAGTCTATGGAATACTCAACATTCCCCATCAATACCATGACTCAGAGACAACAGTTTCTTAGGTTTCTTATTCACAGTCCAGTTGTGAAGGAATGCAGCCTTCATAATGGATTGTGTCTCAATATCAAGAAAACAAAGATTCTTTCCACTGGACCAATAGAAAGCATCATGATGGATGGAGAGGAGGTTGAAACTGTCAACAGCTTCATCTTGCTTGGATCCACAATTAACACCCTTGGTACGAGCAGTCAGGAAATAAGGAGACACATTGCAATGGAAAAAGCTGCAGTTAGGGACTTTTCTAAATTATTGAGGAGTAATGATGTCAGTTTGAGGACTAAGGTGCATCTGATTCAGGCCATGGTCTTTCTAATTACTAACTATGCATCCGAGACCTGGACAATGAGTAAGGATGACAGAAAAAAGAACTGATGCCTTCAAGCTGTGCTGTTGGCGAAGAGCACTGAACATCCCACGGACGGCCAAGAGAATGAATAGATATGTCTTGGAGAGGGTACAGCCAAAGTGCTCTTTGGAGGCAAGAATGATGAGGCTTCACCTCACATACTCTGGACATACTGCTAGGAGGTGCTATTGCTTGGAGAGAGACATAATGTTGGGGAGGGTGGAGGGTCAGAGGAGAGGAAGACCCTCGACCAGGTGGATTGACAAGGTGACTGCTGTAATGGGCTCTTGTGTGTCAGGAAGTGTGATGATGACGCAGGACAGGACTGGGTTCAGATCTTTGTTTATAGGGTCCCTATGAGTCATACTCGATGGCACCTAACAACAACAACAACAACATTCAGCATATGAGGTGACTGAAGACACCATGGCTTGGATCAAGCATACCTTCATCTACAAAGTGGCATTTTTGCACTTTAAAGAGCTCTTTTACAGCAGATGTCCCCAATGCAATACATCCCTTGATGTGCTTGGTAAATGATGGAGAATAATATGCAATGGTATAAAAGTGCATTTCTTTTCTGTAACTCTGATGACTACATAAAAGATGGAATTAAAATTTCCTTAATCGGTTCCTTCACTCCCATCTCTTATACTTCAGGTGTGTGAACACTTCAGGGTCTTAACTTTTAAGGCTGTTCCTAGCTTCTTGAGAACTTCAGACCTCCTCCTTCCTTGTCACAACCTCCTCCTCGCTTGAGTCCCACTGTCTCCTCTGCCAGGAACACTCTCCCTCCACAGCCCATGCTCACTCCCTCACCGCTGCAGTTCTTGCCACCTTTTCTGGGGAGCCTTCTTTGGCCTACATTGAAAACTGGAGCTGCTGTACGTCTCACAACTGCCCAGGCCACTTTCCTGTCTCTAGGTCATCTGAAAGATGATTGTTTTACTGTTTGTGAGAAATGCAGGTACCCCAGTAGCTGATATTAGGCATGACTGACAAGATATCCAGTATTTTCTGGGGCAATGTGCTCAGTAGCATCTCCAATTATGCAACGAAGTAAAGGATCGTGAAAGCTGGACTGCAAATACAGAAAGCTGAAGAAGTAATGACTTTAATTGTGGTATTGGAGAAGAATAATGAAGAGACCAGGGACTGTCAAAAGGACAAAGAAATTTGTCCTTAGAAAAAGTTCATAAAAGTTCCTTAGAAGCCAAGATAGTGAGTGTTGCAGACCAAGGGTAAAGTACTTTTATCATTATTAATAATGAGACAGACTGCCAGGAATGAGATACAACAGAGAGTAAAAACATGGGGCCAACCTGAGCTTCCCTGTTTCCTTATTGAAAATTATCAGGAAGTAAATCACAAAGAGAACTCAATGCAAATGAAGCCAAGCTCTTTCTATTGAAAACCTTCCCCTTACTCAGGAGGGAGGGGTCAGCAAGCACAATGTAAGAATCTGGTCAGCCCTTAAGGATTGCCTTAGCGCCTCAGGGTGAATTCCAGTTCCCCCACATCCTGAAATAGCATTTGGTTTATTACAAATATTTCATATTGACTTCCCATAGTGAGATTTTTGTCTCACATATTTTGGGCATGTTTTCAGGAAAGGTCCGTGCTTGGAAATTACATGAAAGGGTGGAGGGTCAGTAAAGGAAAGGAAGAACCTCAAGACAATGGATTGACACAGTGACTGATACAGTGACTAGAACAATGGGCAGAGGTTGTGAGGATGGTGCAGGGCCGGGCACGGGGTCCTGATGCTGTTCATAGGGTCATAATGAGTCTGAATTGACTCAATGTTTTACAACAGCATTTCAACCTCTTGATAACAGGATCAGGATTCAATGGGAAGACTCTTGGAAGGTGACCCCTTCCTGCCACAGCCCAATAGTTAAAATGACAGGAAACTGGAACTGAGAGTTGAACAAAAAGTAGAAGTTTGAACAATGATAATATTCCAAAAATTGAAAATTACATCCACAAGGCAATGCAACATAACAAATGCAGATAAATACTGAAATAACAAAGTACAGACTCACCAAGTTTTTTAATCTCATGTGTCCGCTCATCTCTCGTCAAGGGGACATAATTCATCTTCCGGCCACTCTCCCCATAGCCCAGAAGAAAGCCTCGTGATCTTCGGGGGCTCTTGGCTCCTGACAGGCGGGGGGCTTTCCACTGGACAGACAGCTTGTCATCTGAAGACCGGACACGCATGCGTAAAGGCTTGTTGGGGACTTCCTTTTCTTAAAAAGGACAGGACACAGACACCATCAAACAGGACACCACCTTGACCTTACCATGATATACATAAATTCTGTCCAGGCTGAACATGAGCTGGGCTTAAAACAGTGATTTTTAGTAGCAAGTTCCATCTGTTGTTGTTGTGGATCTTCTAGTCGGTGCTGGCCCTCCAGGGGGCCTTCAGAGGCTGCACATATCACAGGAGGGAATAACTCATCTTTTTCCTGCAGAGCAGCTGAAGAATTCTAACTGTGCACCTTTGAGTCAGCAGTGCAATTCTTTACCAACAGGCTTCTTAGTTCATTCTACTAAGAACATTGGGGTGTTTGTTGTTGTTTTTTCTCCTAAAGCTATCAACACTCCAACCACATGCTCTTCTCCATATTTCATACCCAGAGATCTCAGGGACTTAAAATATACTATATTGTCAATAACCAGCTAGGAATCTTAGACGCTCTATAATGCTGCTTTTCATCTTTTTGTTTTGCCTCCTTACGGCCAAAATCTTATATCCTCTGGCTGGAAGTAAAGGTCAGTGTAGAAAATATAGCAGAGGCACATTATGTACTGCTTATAGCTGTTGCCCAGAAATTCTTTTTTGTTGTTGTTGTTTTGGGGGTTTTTTTTAGTCATATTGAAAAGATGGCTTTCCTTGCTTTTACAATGACCCACTAAGAGCTAAATATGAGCTGATTTCTGTTTTGGATCATAATTTATTTTTACATGTCTTATTCTTGTCCTTGCAGACAAACTCTAGTCATGTCAGACTATTAGTGCCCCTTTCAGTCTTTATTCTATTGTTTCCTTTTCCTTTGATGAAACATTTTCAAAGGCGACTTGACAGCCCATAACAACAACAGTGATTTTCAATAGATTGTCTTGCTACGTTGAATAGTATCAAGGAATGTGAACGTTTTCAAAACTGCATCTTAAGGCAAATGCTTAGTGTTTAAAGTTTTGCTTTCATATTAAAAACTGATATATTTGGTGATAAAGATGCATGTAACTTCCACACTGTCTATTTCTAACAAGAATTTTATGGCACTTATTTAAGGGTTGAGTTAAGAGAACAAGTGTTCCTCTCAAGTTATTTCCCAAGCATCTTCTTCTACTATATCTACTGACCCTATTAAGAAAAGCAACTTAATGAAACTGGAAAATTCCCAACTAAACTAACAATTCAACACCAAGACATGAAAACTGAAATGAATGTAATGAGTTAGTGTAAGCTTCAACAACAAAGTCAATAATAAGACATTCAAGATGGTTTTTTTTTTCTGAATTCCAGGCACGCAGTTCCAACTTTCTGAATCTAAGCAAGAGAAATGCCCATTTGTAGATGGGCTAAAGTCACTTCATCAGTCATTGAACACTTCATTCTTAAAATAACTAATAAGAGAAAACTATGTTCACAATTAAACAAGCCTTTTTCTAGAGTTGCAAAGTAATAATTATCCAGATTATTTGGTTTTATGCTAATATGCCCAAATGGACTAACTATATCAAACTTCACATCTTGGTGTCATGTGATCACATTAACCAGGGTTTTCCTAACCTGATTATAACTTGCCAAGTGATTAGGTGGACCCTCACTTTCAAAGTGTAGCCTATGTAAAAATCAGAATCTTTTTCTTACAGTTGTTTTGTTTTGCTTTATTTACAGTGAATCATTATTCTGCAAATATGAGCATTTATATATTTCCAAAGAGAGCTTGCATAAAGAGCTTGCTACTGTCTTACTCATTAACTATGCAGCAACTCAGTTATCTAATTATTTGAACTTCCACTTAAGACCTCTAGTGTCATATTCATAGCAGTATGATATCCATTGTGTTCAGAAGATTCAGCCTGCCCCATCCCAATACTTGTTTGAGCTACCTATAGGGACTATAGATCTATGAGCTCACAGAAGGTAGATATTGTGTGGATCTGGGGCAAGAAGAATTGCTAAATCTTTTTTTTTAAATAGTTGTCAAGAATATTTGTTCTTGTTAAGTGCCATCGAGCCATAGGTGACTCATAGTGACCCTGTGAATGAAAGTCCTCAACACTTGTGTGACTTTCATCCTTTCTCTAGGTTCATAGGGTTTCTGGAGGCAAGCTGTTATGGAAGTGGATGCCACTCAGAAAACAAAAGTCAACAAGGAGTGACATGTTTAGTTCCATTTAACACCACCGGCATTTGCTTAGGATCCCCAGTGGGATAGTAGTTAAGCTTTGGATTGCCAAATGTAAGGCTGCACCCACTAGCCACTCCTTGAGAAAAAGATGATGCAATCTTCTTCCAGAAGGGTTTATAGACCAGAAATCAACTGTGGAGGTTCTACCCTGACCTGTAGAGTTGCTATAAGTTGGAATTCATTTGTTGACAATGGATAAATTGTGTTTGTTTTCAAATAACAGATTTTGAAAGAAGTTTGCAGGAATAAAATATGTAACAAGCTAAATTTCTCAGAAACAGGGTTAGTGTAATTTTCCCCCCACTAGTTTACAAAACTTGAGTACAAATTCGAACAAATTCTTTCAATTTCCCTCACCCCCCTCACCCATCAAATTGTACAACCCAATGATTAATCACCCCCACCCCCCCCCCCCCCCGCACATCCACATCCCTCTGCTTCCAGCCTCTCCCACCCCTCCTGGATCCTTATACTCCTACAATAATGATCTTATACAATATTTATCCTTGTGGGACTGAGTTAGTTTACCAAGCATAATGCTCTCCAGTCCCTCCCAAGTTAGGTGATAATTTACAAAATTATTGCTCCTGCGTGCTGCCTAGTATTCCATTGTGTGAATGTACCATAATTTCTCAATACATTTGTTGGTGGTTGGACATTTGGGCTGTTTCCATGTTCTTGTGATGGTGAATAAAAATTCAACAACCCTTCCTGATAGAGACACTCAGAAAAATTAGAATAGAAGGATTAGTGTAATTTTAAATTTTTTTTCTAACATTACAGAATAAAGGTCACCCACCAAAGCAAAAACCTTAGCCAGCCTTGCCTCTCTTCACACTCCACAAGAACAACATTACATACATCATTTTTCCCCTCTCTTTTGTTATATACTGATTATCGTAACACACCAAAATCAATTTTAACAAAAGAACCTTCTTGGGAGCACTGTTTGAAATTACCAGACATAGGCTTTCTGCAGCTCCAAGGTCAACAACGAGGGTAGAGATTTAACTTTATAGGAGGCCCAATTTTAGGCAAGGGTCATGGCTATGTAAACAAAGAAAACAGTACCATCAATAAGATCAAAATTACATCTCCCAGTCATATTTCACAGGAGAAGGATGGACAATCTTCTCCTGTGAGATTAACTGCCTCTGAAAACCTGTCAGAGGGTCAGCTATGGGTCAGTTCGAACTCATACACAACAACAACAATCATATTTGATATCTAGTTACTTTTATGAATGACTTGTCCCTCTTTAAGGGTTGCAAAATGGCCTTTGCTCAGACTCCACATTTCAGGTAGACCCAACAGCACCACATTTCCACAGCCCCTCTCCTTAGGATTCAGCAGTAAACAGGGATAGATGTTTATGGTGAGGCCTCTAACCCTCCCCTCCATCACACACACACACACACACAAAGCATATTGACCTGGGGGTTGTGGGACAATCTGCATCAAAATGGGCAAATCTACATAAAACACTCATGAAGTGACTCAAATGTCAGTTACAAAACAAATGAAGGAGCAGAGAAGACAGCCTCCTCCCAAGGTCCTGAACCATTTCTGTGGCCTCTCCTCCTACAGTGGGAACATTATTTCTGGATGATGGTATCAACACTGGTTTACAAGCAGAATCTGACCTTAGCAACAACTGGCATTCAACAGTAAAGTACTGGGAAGTAATAAAGGAAGAGATCATTAATATTTCCTGGAGGGATTATTCCTGAAGAGGAGAGGGGATGAAGTTCCAAGAATAATAACATGTAGTCACTAAAAGCCAAAGAAGAAAGTTGCTGGTGAGCTCTGGTGGCCTAGTGGCAAGAAGCTGCACTGCAATCCCAGAGGTGCACAGTTCAAATCCACCAGACGCTCTGCTGGAGAAGGAGGGGCAATCTTCTCCTATACCTGTCAGATTTGATTTGACAAGAAAGGAAGGAAAGAAGGGAGGGAGGGAAAGAAGGAGGGAGGGAGGGAGGGAGGGAGAAAAATGTTGCCTGAGGTGCCCACTCCTGGTACTGTCCTAACAGAGTCCACAGAAGTCACCTCAACCTCACACAACCCAAAGAGAAGGGTGGCAACCACCCCTTCAAACTGCATAGGCTCCCCTCAGACCCTAGTTTTGTTTCCTAACCTCACCACCTCAGAGATCAAGAATGGCCAGGCCTGTCCACTGGACAATGGGACCAGTGCTGTGGTCAGTTTATCATATGAAAAAAACCTCTCTACTTTGATTATGCTTTCAACAGCTCTGAGGTAAGCAGGATATATGTTGTATTATTACCATGAGTGAACTGAAGGTGAAATAGGTTAAGTGTTGGGCTGTCAAACTGACCAGCTGCTCTGTGGGAGAAAGACAAAGCATTCTCCTTCCGGTGAGATGCACAGCACTGGAAACTGGATAGAAAGTCTCCATGAGTCAGAACTGACAAGACAGAAGTGGGGTTGAGGTCACTGAAGTTCAAAGAGGTTAAGCAAATTACCCAAGGTCATATAATTAGTAAGTGCCAAGCATAAACCCAAATTCAATCATTCTGATTCCAAATGTCATTCCTTTTTAACCATGTCACTTCCTATGATCTTATAAAAACTCCAACCCCTTCTTCTATCTGATAGGGTATTCATCAGAATCTTAACATAATCTCTTACACAGTCTCACACACAAAAGATCTCTCAAACTTATTGCCTTTGAGTCAGAAGTGACTGATAGCTGACCCTCCAGTAGGTTTTCAGAAGCTGTAAACCACACAGGGTAGATTGCCCATCTTTCTCCTGAAGGCTGCGTGTTGATTCGAACTGCCTGCTTTTGAGTTGGCAGTGCA